GGCCGGCTGCAGCAGCGTGCCCAGCAGCAGCTCCGTCTCGGGTGGCGCTCCAGGGCGTGCGCTGCGCCGAGCCCGGGGACACCGGCGACCCGGGGAGCTCGTGCGCCTCCGGCGTGCCGGGCGAGGCGGGCCGTCTGGGCGGGGTCCCGGGGGAGTCCTCGGCCTCCTCGGCCTCCTCGAGTTCGTCGGGGCTGTCCTGCACCAGCGAGGCGGGCGGCACGGGCAGGGGTGGCCGCCGGGGTCGGAGCAGCATGCTGGGGTCCGGGCCGCAGCCCGCCAGGCCGCCCACACGCGCTCTGAAGACTCGGTGCGCTTCCGCCTCCTTCGGAGCCGACCCCCGGCCGGTCTACGCGGCCCTCCTTCCGCCCCGCCCCGCCCCGCTCCGCCCCCTCCCGGCTAAATCCAACTCCGTCTGTTTTTGCGCCTGGGTTTCTGGGCTTGCCTTCCGGGCCCCTAAGCCTCAAGTGCAGAGGGCAAGGCTCCGCCCCCACCCGAGGGGGGACCTGCCGACCAATTGTGGGTGTAGAACTTTTTAAAAATGTTAGATTGAGGTGCAAACTAACGCGACGTGCGTTATGCGCAAAGTTCAACTGTGTTTACGCGTGTGCTGTGCCCTCTCACCGCCGCGCGGAGCGGCTCTGGAACGTTCTAGCCGGAAGGCCCCCCTCCCCCGCGCCCCCTCCTTGTTTGTTGCCTTTGGTGCGCCCCAGGGTGTTGTTTACAGATACACGTCCAGGCGCTGGCTGTGCTCCCACCTTCTGGTGGTTTCATTACTTGCACAGAAGGTGGCGTTCACTAAACGTGCAGGCAGCTTAGGGCTGGAGCTGATAACGCGCTGTGACCATGGGTCAGAATTAGTGTCATGATTCACACATACACACACTTCACGGAAAGAAACTTCTAGTCCACTTAGAGTTTTGAGCATTACTCTCCGAGATTAGGACGAAAACAAGGATGCCCAGCATCACCACTCTATTCAACATTGTCCTAGAAGTTTAACCAGAGCTATAAGACAAGAAAAACGAGTAAGGTGGACACAGATCGGAAAGGAAAAAGTAAAACCATCTTTGTTTGCAGATTGTATGTCTACACGGAAAGTACAACGTAACCCACAAGCACATTATTAGAACTAATAAGTGAATTTAGCAAGGTCATTGAATGAACAATGAACAAAAATCAATTTTATTTCTGTATACTGGCTACAATAGTTTTTAAAACTTATTAGCTTGGGAAACTTTAGATTTTCAGCCAGGTTGCAAACAGCCCCGAGTCCCATGAACATTGCACATGGCCTTGCGACCTCTGTCAGAGCCAAGAAATGACATCGGTAAACCACAGACTTTATTTGGGTCCTTCCAGGTTTTCCACCGATGTCCTCTTCTGTCCAGGGACCTGCATTGTCCTAGTGCAGGGGTGGGCAACCTTTTTGTGAGTGCGTGCCAAAACCAGCAAAATCTCTGACTCAAAATTCTTCTGCGTGCCAGCCCTAATTTTTTGAGAACATGTTACGCCTACTTGATATCTCTTGAGGTGTACGTATGTGAAGAACCTTGAAGAAATAATAAAATTCATTCGAGCGACAAAAACACAGTATATGATGATGAAAAATACATTTACTGTTAAATGTATATATGTAGACTGATAGTCCGACAGAAAACTTTATGACTCCGTTTGATATTATCAGTGGGACTTTTGCTGCTGCATCACTGATGACAGATTTTACATCAGGTTTATATTTCGTGACCTTCAGAGATATGCACGAGCTACTACTTTCATCCACCAGGCTACTCCTATTACGAGACTTAACAAAATTCATCACTGAGAACAAAGATTCACAAGCGTATGTGGATGAAACCAAAACACTGGTCAGATCTAGGAAGGCAGGGAGAGTTAAGGCAGAGGCATAGAAATTGCTCTTCCCCTCTCTCGTCAATCCATGTCTATGGTCTTTAAGATAACTTGTTATGTAAAATTATTTATCTAAGATGCACCTACACTGAATTTATCTTAAAAATAAAAAAAGTCGATATTAAGAAAAAAATTGTAAATGGAAGATTATAAGAGAGGGTTTCGCAGGCCAGCAAAAGTTACTGGCGTGCCATGTTTGGCACCCGTGCCAGGGGTTGCCCACCCCTGTCCTAGTGTCTCCTCAGTCTCCTCTGGCTGTGGCCTTGTGTCCACACCCTTGACAATTTGAGGACACTGGCCAGGTATTTTGCGGGATGTCCCTCAGTTTGGGTTTGTTTGGTGTCTTGTGGTGAGACTGGGGCTATGGGTTTCTGGGAGGAAGACCACGCGAGGTTCCATGCCCCTCTTACTCATCACACCAGGTGTGTTACCTTGGCAGGACTGTGATGCTCACCTGATTTCCCTTAAGGTGGTGCCTTTCTCTGTCCACCTCCCCATTTCTGCCCCGCAGTGGGGGCCAGGCACCAAGCCCACGCATACACGGGGGCATTTGCATGTATGGTTAGGGGTTCTTCTGTAACTCTCCCCCTTTTTACTCATTCACCATCAGTTGATGTCAGTGTGGACTCGCAGACATTTCTCGTTCCTGGGCTGCAGTCTGGCCCTGGTGTTGAGGTGCTCAGATGGCACAGCTTGGGCCACGGGGAGTTCTTCGCAGCTCTTTCCTTTTCCCCTCTTGTCCTCTGACCTTTGACATGTTCTGCCCCCCCCCTTTTTTTAGCACTTGCTTGCTTCTGACACTACAGTGTGCTCCTGTCCAGCTGGAACTTTCCCCACCAGTCAGCTATTCAGCCGTTTCTCCAAAAAATTTGTGTTTTTGTGTTTTGTTTTGAGAATGGGATCTGGAAGCCAAGATATGGATACCGGGTTGTCTCTGCTTCTAAGCCAGTGGTTCTGGGTTATGACTCCCCACCCCCAGGGGATAGCTGGTGATGTCTGGAGATATTGTTGGTTGTCACAACTTGAGGGGTGCTGCTGGCATGTAGTGGGTAGAGACGGGAGATGCTGTAACACCTCCCACAGTGCACTGGGCAGCCCCACAGCAAAGACTGATCCACCCTAGGTCGGGAGCCAGTGGCTGAGAAGCCCCACCGCAGCCGAGGAATGTACACTCGCCTGTGTCCACGCATCTGGGTAGTGTTTGGGTGCCCGACCCCCTTGTCCCCGCACTGCAGGGTGTGTCCTCGCCTCCCCACGCGCTTTCCTGTAGCTTCTTTCTCTGACGGAGGGTGGCTCGACTCCCTTGTCTACAGCTCGTTAATGGCCAGCCCTCATGCGCGTGGAGAGTAGCTTCAGAATTGCTGAGCTCGGTCCACAGTAGAACGTGACTATTTTGTTGTCTTTTATAAAACGTTACTTCTTCAGACTTGCCTGCCAGGCAGAGGGCTTTATCATTCATACAGGCACTTTACGCCCCAAACTCTCAGCTCTTGGCCTTCCACCCCTCCCTCTGTGGTGTCCACCAATCCCAAACCCATCCATGAGGAACCTGCCCAGCCAGGCCCTGGCGAGGTAGTGCCCGGGAGCGATCCACCGCTCCTGCCCGCAGGCTGCGGTGAGGTCTGGGTACTGAGGTCTGGGTGCCCGAGTGCGCGTGGGCTTGCCAGGCGGAGCGGCTGGGGCTGGGCAGTTTGTGGCAGAGCAGCCTTGAGTGGTAGCGCTGGGTGGTTTGCAGTCTTCTCCTCCAGAGGCAAGTCTTCCCTGCAGGATGCGTTTGCTGATCACAGGCCTGCGCATTCCGGAGGGGCCCCTGTGCGAAAAGGGGTTGGCTGACCTGCCCTTCCCCGCGCCACCCGAGGACTTGGCTGTGGCCCGAGCACCCCTGGGCCCTCACAACGTCGTGAGCACCCTGATTGTCTCTGTCTGGTCACGAAGGAGCCCCCACTCTGACCACAGAGCAGGCGTCACTTTAGGGAGAAACAAACTGAGCCACAGGGAAGCCGTCCTGGTAGAAATGATTTTATTTAGAAACCTGTGCTACAGGACAGGAGGGCGCCATGCAAACGTCGTGCTTAAGCCAAAAGCCCCGTCAGTTCCCCTGAATAAGTCGTTAAGATTGGAATGTTTATTTGTGCTGGACACTAATTTTGCTTCAGGCTTTGTGACACTATCTTGTTAAATTCAAAATCTGAAAATGTCAGAGCTGATTGGCAGAACACAATCCTCATAGAAAAGCTTAAAAAAAATAAAGCCACATTGGCATGGCCAGGAGAGCCGAGCCCCTGTACGCCATGTAAGCAGGACCTGGAATGAATGTTTGTGGGAAAACGCATCTTGATATTGAAAAGAGCAGCGTTTTATCACTAGTAACAGTGTTCCTAGAAATACAGCTGGTCGCTCGAAAGAATCACTAATTCTAAAACTCAGAAGAGCAGTCGTGGGTCTTGCAATGATTTTGGTGGAAGAACGGGGGTGCCTGGGATGGTGCCAGGGGGTCTGGCCTCCCACGGCGGGCAAGAGGCCCCGTGGTGGGTGTGACAGCAGGCCCCCTCCCAGGGTGTCCCCCACCCACTGAGCTGTGCCCAGCACCAGCCACGTGGGAAGAGCCCTGGAGAAGAGCTTGGCGCCATTTAGGCAGCAAACTTCATTTCCTGGTTGGTTCCGACGAAGCGCTGGTGACGGCAAGCTGCGGGAGCCCAGGCTGGGCGTGTGCGTGGCATGCATGGCTGCTGGAGCAGGTGGGCAGCAGCCACAGCCCCGGGGCCCCCAGGCCACCAGACGGGCTAGGGACCTCTCAGGGTCCCTGAAGCCGCCTCTGTTTTGGAGCTGCTGTGTCCTGTGTGCTTTGCTAGGAAGCAGAACCTTGGCCAGGGCGCACCTGTCCCACCAGAAGCTGCTCTATGTGGGGGTGGTGGGCACGTGGGGCCAGAGGGTACTTGGGGGGCTGCCAGTGTGGAGCTGGGAGGCGCTTGCCAGCAACAGGAGGCTCAGTTGGAATGGGTGGCAGGAAGGGCTGCAGGGCTCTGGGACCCCCACTTGGCTGGGACGGGGTGAGCCAGGGGAAGTCTGGGTCGGGGAAGGTCTGGGGGGAGGGAGTGTGAACCAGGTTGGGGCTTGGGCTACTGGGGAGCCTCAGGACCCCGTGGAAGGGTTCAGAACCCCTTGGAACTTGTGGTGGGTGTGGGGGTCAGAGGTCAGTCTTGGTCCTTTGTTGCTGGGCACATGGAGGCCAGGCCCATGAAAACACTGCTCATTGGGCAACCCAGTTAAAATCAGAGGCTGGGAGGTGGGGTGGGGTTTGGGGGTGGGTTGGATCCCTGGAGAAGTGGGGAGGGCCATTTCTCT